ATGTGTGTGTGTATGTGTGTGTGTGTGTGTATGTGTGTGTATGTGTGTATGTGTGTGTGTGTGTGCGTACGTGTGTACGGGGAGTTTTAGGACAAGTCCACTGGCGTCCACGATCACCTCTGTTTGTTGTCGTCATGTATTTGAAACATATTCCTCTTACAACGTAATGAGGTCAAGTTAAACCGTACAGTACAAAAGCAATACCGCTCGTGACCACTCATACTCTATACGCCAGAGGCAAGCAATACAAGCACATCGCACCATCCCATGCAGGTCGAATGCGTGCGCATCGATATGATACAGCCTTTACCATCCGATGTCAGCTAGCCATTGATGCTTATCCAGAATATGAATGTGTTTAAGCTATGAAGGTGTGTTCAGAGACGTACTTTTGCCCATCCACCAACAAGGATGTGTACATGGATGAATTGAAGTAAGTGTGTATGACCCGCCGAACGTTATACAGGCACATATATGCGCTCCTTGGCATCAGACAGTCCCGATCCTCCTATTACGATAATGCAGTCAATACTTGTCTGTAGGATGACTTCAGAGGTATACGTTTACAAATGTACACCTCTGTAAAAATCCATCCTTATCCTACCCATGTAAGCATGATGATCTATACATATGACATGCTAAAGCCACATCTCTATAAATCTGTCTTTATCCTACCCATGTAAGCATGATGATCTATACATCTGACATGCTAAAGCGCTACTTACGCGTTCATTGACATCACATGGCCCTGATCGTCCAGCATGACGATACCATCAATGCTTGTCTGCAGAATGATTTCGTTGAGACGGTGCGCTTCCTCAGCGGCTGCAGCGATACAGATAGAATAACAATAGAATAAGAATCAGCATGCAGAGATGTGCAGTATTCAGATAGATGCTTTGAATGACAAATAAACCAGGGCTATAAATAGGACATGAGCCATTTATAAAACACACCCTTTCTCCATCTATCGAAACCATAACATAGAGATAGGTATCTAATACACTCGGATAAACCTCACACAAGTATATTCATAAAAACTCTCTCATCTAAAGATTATAGTGTAGATGAACCTCACCTAAGTATATTGATAGAAACTATCCTATCTATGGACGACACACTCCCTCCATATCCTGTAAACGTACCATGGCATCCTGTAAACGTACCACGGCATACTGTTCTTTCAGTATACCCTCGGCGTAGATAAACTTCACGCAAGGCTACTAACAGAACATAAGCAAATACAGCACAAGAACGTAACATAGCGCTGCCCTGTTAATATATACTAATCGAGAATGAATTCCACACACAGAAAATAATAGAACCATACCGTTGCTTTTCCAGTAGGCTCTGGTAGCGGACAAGTCTCACACAAAGCTATATATAAAATATTAAATCATACTACAACACAAAAGCTATACATAGAATATTAAATCATACTACAACACAAAAGCTATACATAGAATATTAAATCATCCTACAACACAAAAGCCATAAACAGAATCTCAACTAATAATAGAACACCACACACTCACCATAGCGCTGCTCTTCCAGTATGCTCTGGTCGTGGATAAGACCCACAAACTGGCGTCGCTCCAGTGAGGGATCATTTACTTCGGACAGAGACAGTGACATGGGGAACAGGGCCTTGTCTTTACGCAGTCCTCTGAGCTGCCCCTTCCTACCTACAGCTCTGCCTAGCAGCCGCTCGCCACTCAGCAGATGCCGTTCCACAAAGCCCTGGGTGCGAGAAACGAAGGATACGAAAAATTTAAGAAAGTGCAGAGAAAGCGTGGAGAGAACGTAAGTTTTGTAAGTTTTGGTGTGTGTGGAGAGGTATATGCTCGTGATGAGTGTGGAGACGGACGAGTAGAAGACTTGTGTGCAAGAAAAGATGCACACAAGCTACCTATGTGAAGAAGGGGAAGGGGAAGGAAAGAGTTTGCGGCTTGCATGGATTGACACAACTTTTCCACGGCAGATGTACCGGGTGGGGGAGGATATACACTCATGCTATATATAAATTTATATATATATATAT